AATATTTATATGAATGCCTACCTAAATATGTAAATCCGTAGAAAACAATGTGGAAGGTCACTAACCAATCCAATCATGGTGGTTATCTTTGGGAACTGTGATAAGAGATGACATCTCATTCGTAGTATCTTACCTTTTTCATGGACAATGTATTGATATATTATTTATTTACTTTGATATATATATATTTGTACTGGAGATCAAACTCAGATCCTTATGCTTGCGAGGCAGGCAGCAGAATCACTGAACTAAATACCCAGCCCTAAAAAATAATTTTAAGGATTGAATGGAAAATAATGGAAAGGCTATAGCATGTGAGCTTTTTAAGAAAGAAATTTAAGCCAAGCACAGTGGTGCACTCCTGTATTTCCAGCACTTGGGAGGCTGAAACAGGAGGATCCCTGCAAGTTCAAAGCCAGCCTGGACTAAGTAGTAAGTTCAAGGCCAGGGTCTCTGCATAGTGAGATGCTGTCTCAATGAAAGGATATTTAATAACAAAATAATTATTAATAATTAATAATAAAAGAATAGCTAAACAATGGAACATGTACCAGAAGGAACATTAATACACACATTAACTAAAAATGCAGTTAAAAATACTTATGGAACATAAAGTTTTAATATCATTGTATTTATAAAAATGGTATGATTAAAACTTATAGGTAGTTTAAGGGAGCAACAATAAAATGTCCCCAGGAACTTGTGAATATAATTTTATTTTAGAGTTAAATTATAAAATGAATGTATAATGAACCAAATAGAAATATCACCTAGAAATATAATGGCATAGCAAGATTATGGAGAAAAAGAAATCCTTACACACTGCAGGTGGGAACCTGAATTAGTAGAACCACCGTGGCAGTCACTATGGCTTGAATCTGAAATGTCCCTCAAAGTCTCATGTACTGATGGTCCCCAGCTCATGGCTCCCCGGGGAGGTTGGGGAAGCCTTAGCAGGTGGGGCCTAGTCAGAGGAAGTGCATCTTTGGGGATGTGGCTTGGAAAGGGATATTGGGATCTAAATTCTGTAAGGGGCCGCTGGCAGATGTGTCAAAGGCCGGTGTCTGAGGACACAAAGTCTGTCGTCTGGTGCAGGCGCATCACAGACTTTGTTGTAACAAGTCAGCATGGACGACCACACATGCCACACATGTCTCAGAAAAGCTGATAAAAAAGGACACCCAGCTCTTGAGCTCCGCAGCTGCAGCTCCAACTCTCACGCTCTGAAGCTGCCCTGATGCTGGAAATTAGTTTGGCTCCTGCTTTCTGGTGATGTCTGCTCCACACATTCGTTTCTCTGGGAATCTCACCTGAACGGACCCCCTTTCAGCCCACCCACCCCAAAGCTCCTCCTTTCCCCTCTCCCATTTCAGGGCCACCATGAGGTGAAGGGCTCTGCGGCACTATGCTCTCTTTACCATGGTGTTCTGCCTCCCTACAGACTCATAATCCACAGATCTCCAAAGAACGGCCAAAATGTTACTAGGCACTGTTTTAGTTATAATACTATTTACAAGTCACAAACCAAAAAGACTTTCTCCTACAACAAAAAGAAACAAACAGATAATAGCACAAAACTTTCTTTTCAATGCATAGATAAGCATAGGGAAACTAGTAGTATAAATGAAACAAATTAGCATATACTGAAATATTTTGGAAGCTATTATTTTGTTATGAAATTTAATTTTATTTTTATATAGAAGTAAGAAGAGTGCTTTTTTATATTTTCTTTATTAATATCTACTTGTATTACATCACAGTAAAAAAGAGAGAACAGATCAAAATGACCATGGACCGTAACCTCTGAAGCCTAGATGCAAAATAAGACTTTCCTTCTTTAAATTGTTCATCTCAGTTATTTTGTCTTATATCACCAAAAGCTAACCAACTAGTAGTTACTCAAAAAAGTAAAACTTGAACTGCAGTTTGACCCAGTCATCCTTCTGGATATATATCCAAAGGAAATGAAGTCACTATGTATAAGAGACATTTGCATTTGTTAATTTTAGTACTAGTCACAACAGCTAGAGTGGAAAGAACCTATGTGTTTACAGACTGATGATTAGATGAAAGAAAATGTGGTACATACATTTAATGGAATCCTACCCAGCCATAAAAAGGATGAAATCCTCTCATTTGTGACCAACAACATACATAGCACTGAGAGGAATTATGTTAAGTGAAATAGGCACTGAAAGCAAACACTCCAAATCTCATTCATATGTGGAATCTAAAAAAATGCTGATCTCATAGAAAATGAGGAAGAAAGGTAAAAGGTCATCAGTGAGTACTAAGTTTTAGTTCTCTAAACTAAAGGAGTGGGCAGTTCTGGGACGCTGTTGTACATTGGAGTGACTAGAGATAATAATGTCTTACATTTCCTAATGCAAGAAGAAATGATTATGAAAGTTTTTACCATAAAGTAATGATAAGTGTTTGAGGATATAGATATGTTTAACCTGAATTTTAGCAAATATGCCCAGTTTTTGTGTGTTAATAATAAAAGACAATAATAGCTTCCAGACTGACGAGTCTTGGCTATAACATGGGTGACAATTTCAGCATATCTAAAGAAAGAATATGTCAGGGAGCCACATAAGCTTAGTTAAGGGAGAATCGATGAAACTAATATGGAAGAGCACATTGGTCAGTTATTAATCTTGGTATGCCATAGTTTCTCCCCCTTGAAAGATTTAATAATGGTATCTACTCAACAAGGTCATTGTATACAGCAATATAGCACCTGGTATGCAATAAAGCTTACATATTACTAAAGAAAGGGAATGTGGTGATGAAGCCAATATAATAAACTGTGTCACAGTTTTATTTCTCACTAGCAGCCAGCATCTTGGTTTTCATGCCTCGGGCTCTTGTGAGGTAGTCAGCGTGAGTCAGCACCCTTAATCTGACCAGTTCTGAGGCACTGAGTAGATCAAGTTTCCAGACTACAAAACTAAAAGTCCAGTCTGGACTGAGGTTCAAAGTATCCAGGCAATAACATCCAGCAAGGTCTCTGGATAGCCAGCCAGCCAGCTACCTTTCTTAGGGATATCCCCTCTGGCCTACCTAACCCAGTCATACTTCTAAACAGTATGGGGTAGGGGGATGTCTATGCAGAACAAATAAAAAAGGAAGAAAAATGCATTAAAATACCAACAGGTGGTTATGTGAAGAGACTATGACTGATTTTTATATTTTCTTTATTTTACTTTTGCACTTTCCAAGTTTTCTTCGTTGAACACATATTTGCTTTAATATTTTATAAACATGTTTAAATGATGGTGAGGTGGGAAAAGGGTAGGGAAAAGGCTTCTGAGGGCAGAGCAGGGATAATTTTTGCTCCTGAGTGAACTCTTTCCCTGTGCATTGAGGCCTTTAGATGGCTTATTATTAGCCCTCATTACGTTTGCGTAGGTAGTGACTGCTGTGGAAAATATTTGGCCTGTTAATTCTGTATCACTGTATCTAACTGTATCACTGACTGGCTGTCGAACTTGAAAGTCCCAGATTTGAGTTTCTGATCATTCCTTCATTCTCTGTAATCATTATGAAATATTTGTTACTCACCTTCCAAGGTGCATGGCTATATGCTAAATTCAGCGGGGGTTGGGGGGGTGAAAAGGAGGGCGCCTATAAGAGAGAGGGAAGTTAGGGAAATAAGAAAGATTAACAAAATGCAAAAATCATTGTGGCTTGGGTGTGGTAGCTAGGAAAGGCTTAGAACTTGAAAGGTCAGTGGACCTAATTCTCTTACCCTTCACTGCAGAGAGCAGATAGTACTTAACCCATCTTGAGAGTGGTGTGGGCTTTGGATAAGCAGAGAACAAGGGGTGCGGACCATAGAGCGGGGAAGCCAAAGCGCTGGGGTTGCAGGATTCCCCTGAAGCCAGTGATCTTCCTTACCTGTGGGTTTCTTTCCCAACCTTCCAGTCCTCTTTTATTTTCAGCTGACCTTTTGTTGCCTCAGCCATGTGACCTGTGGGCGCCCCAGGGAGCTTTCCTAAACTGTTACAAGATCTCCAGCTCTAGTCTTGCCAAGGCCGCTCTCCCTCAGGCTCTGCCCACTCCCAGCCCAGTTCCCCTCCGGCCTGTGGCGCTTGCTTCCGCAAAGCGCACTACTGCTGCATCCTGCCTCAGTGCCGAGCTCGCTCACTGGTCCGCTCTTAAGGAATAAAGTACTTTACCTTTACGTTTCCTGTCTGATCTTGGTGGAGGGCGAAGTTTAATCCGAGCTTTTAGTCAAAATCTAAAGTACAATAAGCATTCCGATTTGTGTACTTGTTTATTCATTTGTCGTGGTGGGGATTTAACTCAAGGCCTCCTGCTCATTAGGCGTGTATTCTGCCACTGAGCTACACCTTCAGACCCAGAATTTGAAAGTCCAATGTTTTAGAGGTTGGGCGCCAATGCTTCTTTCCTTTCAGTTTTGAAGTTACTGTGGGTTCCTAGAACCAGTCCCGCAGAAGAAGCAGCAGCCTCCTCGATATCCTGTGTGTACAGCAAGTGTGGAAAATTAAAATAGTCACTTGAAGTGTTTCGAAAATAAACCTCTGAGAGCACATTGCCTACGGTGACACATTCTCCGCTGCGGGGCGGGCCGCAGAGCTCC